AAAGATAACCATATTGGAAGTCTAATTAAAATATTAGAATATATGAATATTTAGAAACAAAAAAATAAAAATAAAATGTTAAAATAATTCAAATTTTTGAAAACATATTAATCGATAAAACTAATTTCAATATGTTTTCAATTACTGAGGATAAATTAAATGTAAGTTCGATTATACAAAAGTCAATAGATTGAAGTTAAATGTAAACAAGAGTTGATTTTAATTCTATAGATAAGAATAATATTAATTCTAAAGAAATACATTTAATAGAAATTAGAATAAAGATTTGGTAATTTGTCCGAAACTTTGATGTTCGAGAGAATCTTTTGTTCTCTTTCAGAACATTTCATTTTATAGTCATAAACAAAACGTGCTCCATTTCTTATATTAGCGATAAAAAAAGACTATTTATACAAACTATTATTAGATTATAAAATATTATTCGCATGTTAATTTTTGGAAGTGTCATATCGATAGATGAATAAGTCATTTTGAATTCATTAAGTGGAGAAATTAATCAAAATAGACGATAAGTAAGTCTCGACGATAAATCTTCGATGGAACAAAAACCCAAAATTCATCCAAAATAATCAGAATTTATACTAAAAATTGACTTGCCTGTAGGCAATTTTATTTGTATTTCATGCATCTAGAAATTTTAAGAGTATTTTTTTTATTTATTTTAATTGAATAAACGAAATATCTATTTGAATATTTAAATTATTCAAATTTAATTATTACTTTTTGTGTTTTTCCTCTAGGATTTTGTATGATTATCAATGTCAGATTGTCTTCTGCTTGGTGTTACACTTCCATCATTATGATTATGACGTGTCTCAACAAATCGATTAAAAAAATGATCTATGCTTTTCTTTGCCAACACAACAATTAATATTAAAGGAAATAAACTAAAATAATGATGATTAATCGACGCGAGTTAAAATTTGCATTGAAAGTTTATAATCATATTCAAACACTCAACTATATATACAGCAGCAGTTATAGATTCTATATAAATTTATTTTCATACAATACAAAATCATGATGAATTAACGTGTCAATTTTCCTCTAGTCATATACGTTATATATTACGTTTTATTATATTTGTATCAGAAACAATTTATATAAATATATTTTAAAAAATCACTTGTTCGTTGTACATCAACTGTATGTATAAATGACTCATGTAAATTATTCAAAACTATATGATCAATATTTAAATATCTTTATCAATGCCATGACTTAATTATAACAAATAAACAAACAAATCAATTATTACAATTATATTTAAATTTATTTGAACCGGATAATCGGCCATTTATTTATATCATTTAATGATCTTGATTATCTCTATTAAAATCTCATATTTTTTATCGATGTGATTTATGTCGAATAGATATATTATGATCTCGTTTAACAATACTTAATTCATTTATACGTATACAAATGTAATTTTGAGAATAACATTGTCAAGATATACATAAGATACAATTTGGTTCCAATGATTATTGTTTATTATCATTTCCTGTTGATTCATTAGAACATTCAGATACAATAAAGGATTATATTGAACATATATTATTTGTTGGTTGGTTAATCAAGAACACAATTTCAACCAATATGGATTTCATTTTTAGTTTCAATTAATCCACTAAATCAATCTAATTACAATGGTGGTGAGAAAATTTAAAAAAGTAGATTTTATGTGTTATTGTTTTTACTTTGTATGATGTATTCATTCGTGCTGTAACAACATTTTTATCAAATGCACTTTGATTGACATCTATTCCATCTTTATTAACAGATATTCCTTATTAACATATGTAAATACGTTGAACATTAGATAAACATTTAAATAATTTATTTAAAAATATTGAACGATTAGGTGCACGTGATTTATTATTCTATAGGCGACTTTCGTATGATACTGTATTCATGTCAATTCAAAGTAATAATCAAGTACCATTGCTAGCTAATGTAGGTTCGTATGTACTTTAATAATTGACATATAGAACTTGTATTTCTGTTAATATTGAATATCCCAGAGAAGTGTAGAAAAAACGGTTATCGAAACAATTTTAAATTTTAAAATAATACAGAAATCTAAGTTAAAGAACAAGAGAAATTCATTGCTAAATTGCTTCTTTCATTAAACAAAAAATAATCTCATCATTAATTTTAAATAAATTCTAATTACTTATTGTATTGTACTAATAAATTCTCAAACTTGAAGTATTTTGTTTTATTAATTAGAAATTTACCATATGAACCCAGGTCAAACGATACGGTCCGTAAACGACCGTTTACGGTTACCTTACGACGCATAAGCGGACCGTATACGGCCGTAATATCGGGCACAGAAATACGGCCCTATCATAATGAGATTACGCCCCGTATACGGCTGTATACTGTGAAAATACAGCCTCGTATACGGTGCCGTATTACTGTGCCCATGATTACGAGAAAATACAGTCCGTTTACGGTGCCGTATGAAGCAAATTACGGTGAAAATACGAATAGCCGTATCTATAGACCTGGGTAATTAATGATAAGAAAACGAAAAAATGATTTCATCGTATATCAAATCAACAGTCCATATCTCAATGGGAATCAGCAAGACAATGTCTTCCTCTCCGGAGTTCATTGTTATTGCGCTACATATGAAGTGTTTGTCTCCCACTCCTACTTACCAGAAGAGAAAGCTTGAATAAAACATTACCATATCTTTGCTTTATGTTTCACTTTTCTTTGTTTTTATTAAAAAGGAGTTTTAAAAAAAAATTTAAATAGTATGATGTCTAATTGTTCATTTTCTGACGTTCAATCTATGTATGTGCAAGACAGTCGGACAAGTCGAATGATATAGAACGAAAAAAAAATTTCTGTTTTTCCCCTTCATTCACAACTTCTTTTACGGCATCATCTCACTATTAGGGAACTGCAAAGTGGTCCCGGTCAGTTTTTATGCAATATGTTTTCACGTTTATTATTTTGACATGGTTTAAGATCTGTAAATCAGATATTTTTATTTGATATCTCTATAAAAGTCTTTACTGATTACGAGTCTGTTTGCAAGAATCTGAGTTCTCCAATTGCACAGGTTTTTGAATACATATAGAACAACCAACACAACACTATATACGTAAGTTTAATTTGTTCATTCTTTGATGACTCCTTTATTGAAGTCTTATCAGATAATAGTAAATAGATATGTATCGCCGTTTATTTTTTTTTTTTTTGACAATCGTAATGGCTACTCAGTATAAATAATCAATTCGATAATAAATTCATTAGGTAGAGCAGTAGATATAAAAGAAGAGAGAAATAAGTAAATGACTGCTACGAAATATACGAGAATTTTTAACAAAATTCAATGGTTATTTTTTTTTATTCGAGCTTTCAGTGAAATTCTTTCACTTTAACACTGGATATAAAAGAATTTTCGTACTGCTAACGAATCAAAATCATTCATGTCAATTTTATGTATTCATAAAAGTACGCAGATCGTAAAAAAAAGTTGCTCGATTTTAGAAATGAAACCATTGTCAAAGACAGGGACTGGGACCGGGACGGGAAAAAAAATTGACCGGGATCGGGACTAAAAAAAGTGATTTTGCAGTTCCCTACTCACTATCCTTTAGTATCTTCGTATTTCGATTCTTATTGTGCAATGCCTTCATCAATATTGAACATGGATATTTCAGTCCTTCCTCCAGATGTGTTATCATTATATGATGAACCCTTCTATGAATTAGTTGGTAAATTAGCTGGTCCTGTCGAAGCCAAATTACTTGAAGTACAAGGTATTCGTAGTGCCTATTCATTATTACATACAGAGAATGTTTTTGATATATTAAAACATGAATGTAAAGCATTGGATGAAATTAAAAAAGATGCTTGCCTTCGATTGGATGATAATCGATATGTTGTTAAACCTGAATGTGAAAGTAATATACGATACTTTACTCAATTACTCAACTTGAAGAATCAAGAACATTTGAAAACAGTTGGACTTTGAACGAAATCAAAGCACAAGTCGAATAATGATGATAATAGTAATATATCTACATCTCAATCATCAGCACAAGTTCTTCCTGTTTCTTGACCAATATCATAAAGTACAACAATAATATCGAGTAAGTATTCGTATGGAATCCTTTTCTCCTCCACAAGAATACAATAGTCATTGAAAAGGTCCGGGAAATAGCGATCATAAAAATGATCTACCAATTGATGCTAAATACTTTTGTCCTGATCTTAAAAGAATTGATAAGTGTTCGAAGATCAGCGAAAATCACAATTGGATGACTGAGTATGTGTTCAACTAAAACATGTTTTGCAGACAAGAAAATTCTGTCTAGTAAATCAAATGAACAGTTTTTTAGAGCGAAAGTATCTCCATCGAATGTAGATCGAACACTATCTTTCAATTATGTTTCTACTCCTAAGAAAACAAACAATCGTGGCTCATTGAATGTAGTCCATCAGTTACAACAGACCTGATAAATATCTTCATTGGTGCTACTTCAAATTTGAGTTCGATACTCAGCATTTGAGATTGAAAAACCTTGTTTTCATGATGGTGATCAGTACTGTTAAAACAAGCATTTACTTGTCTGTTGCTTTTTGCGACTACCATTTTCGTTGTCTCGAAATCGGTGGAAAATGTTTAGTGAGTAGACAGTGATCAGCAGGGCATCCAATAGACAACCAAAGGCAACGACTTATTTTTCAGTGTTGGTTTCTAGAAAAAATTTCTGATCGATACTCGATCAATTGAGATCGGATTTGCGAAAGTTCATCACATAATGTATCATTCCACCAAAACTTACATTCACAAGTCTATTCTCCATTATTATACTGACAATAGCCCGTGTAGCCACAATTATTACAAGTAGAACAATCTAAACGAAGTGATCGATTTTCGAGGCAACACACTCCACTGACTCACATACTTCGATCATTGACGACGTTCATCAAGAAAAACAATAGAATCAACACGTTATTCATATCAGCTTTTTGTAACAGAAAATTTCTCCGATATTGACGATGGAAAAGAGTGAAACAGATCCTTTTCTGAAATTTGAGCATACGGAAAGATTGTCGCCCAATTTCCTTATTTTTTATATTGTTTCTGCTCTTTTCTTTTGTTAGTCACTGAATGGCGCCTTTTTCTTTATCCTTTTTCAAATACTTGGTTGGTATTTCCGACCTCGTTTGATCAACTCAATTTTCCTTATCTCAATAAATATGAAATATAGACAGAGGTATACAGAACACAAGACGGTAAATCGCGTCAACTCAAGTACACAACTGTGTTGATTGATATATGAGAAATTGATAACAGCTCGCATGTCCATGTAAGTCCCACCGTTCTCAAGGCTATAATATCATAGAGCGTACAGTTTACTATGGTAGAAAACGCCATCGAATTTCGATCTTGTTTTTAATTGAAAAAGAAAAAGAGGCATGCTTTTTCTATTCTTCATTTAGCCTTTGTGATAGATTTCGAATGAATATATCTGTTCGTCTTTTTCTGCAGATGTTTCCATTAATGCGAAGAGTTTTTCCGATTTAAGAACACAAAACTTGCTAAGCAATGAGCACACACGATTGGCACGCATCACGGCAAGAATATGAAGAGAATAATTAAGAGAGGGTCCATCATATGGTCAAGAAATCCCATATTCCCGAAAATGTTTACCCCCTCATTTTATTTGTGGAACCGATAACCTATGAGGTGAAACTAATAAACCCAAAATATTAGCTCGATTGATTATGTAACGAAAAAGTTATGAGAACCATACGGACGACTACTCCGTGATTCAGTCAAAATCAGCACTCTTTTTTTGTGTTTTAAGTACGATCCTCATATCTCCATCAAAATGTGACCTATTTCCCAGCAATTATACACCATTCGATAGCGCATCGAACGTTCTACCCAATTAGATATAAGACAGAATTAAAACAAGTATTCAGATAAGGGTGTGAGTGGGTGTGGGTGTGGGTGTGCGTGTGGGTGTGTCGGTGGGGGTGTGTCGGTGGGGGTGTGCGTGTGGGTGTGGGTTTCATTCTACCCACACCCACACGCACACTCTCCAACCCACATCCACATCCACATCCACATTATAGCCATCTGTGTGGCTCTCGATGCTTTTCATCAAGACAAGAACAACTTTACAGTGAGCTGAGCGTTACAGTTAGTAATTACATTGATGTTCTTTAAAGTGCATCTTTGAAGAAAAAACGGTGTATCACGAGAAAGCAGCCGATGATTTTATTTAACCGATTCATCATATGCTTTCTAGCACCATCTGAGAAAGAAAAAACAAGAGATCTTTTTTTCCATCAAGTAATTTTGATTTTTGAAATATCTTCACAAAACCGCACATATCATCTCGCCTATATAGTTTTCATGTTTCTCACTTGAGGTTTCTCAATAATTTTGTTTAACAACACAATTCTAAATTCGTATAGGTTTTACGTAGTTTTAACAAAATGAGCTGCATCGTACTACGTGCGTCGCATATCATACAGTATTTTATTTTGAAAATTTTTCAATAGTCATCAATCGGTTCTTAAAATAAATAAAATTAATGTGAGAAAACAATTCATACGCAAAGAAAAAAAAGGAAATTCTCGTCAGTATTTTTGTTGAGAAACATCAACAGTTTGTTCTTCGACATTAACTCTATGCAACAATATCTAATAATGTTTTCTTGCTATAAAAGAATAAGAAGAAAACCTTTTGTATAGTTAAGTGTGGTGTAGTTCCATAGCACGTAAGAGTAGAAAAAAAAGTTATTTTGCAAAAAAATGGATATAGTATACCATTATGTGAACAACGTATCACTTGAATTAAGAAGAAAATAATAACAAAGAAAAAGTCTATCAGAATGATTGATATCGAAGTGCTACATAAATTTATTTCTGTGTTTTTTTTGTCAATCATATAAATCATATTCATCACTAACACTGACATATTTCACTTTGTTTTTCTTTTTTGATCATCATCAGCATGGATGGGACGAAGAAAAAAAAGCAGAGGAGAGTGTCAGAAAATTTTTCTTTAATTTTTTGGAAAGATGCGAATACTATTTTTTGAAAAGTGGAGGGTGTCGAACCTTTTTTCTTCTTTTTGAGATCTTGTTTTAATAAAAGCTACGATTGCAACTGAAAAAAAAGGAAAATTTGATAAAAGTGGAGGAGGGTGTACACCTCCTTCCCCACAGTCGCCACATTCCTGATCATCATTGTCCGTGTATAAATTATAGGTATAAAAAATTGTTCTACCAGAGGATTATGATATTCGACCGATGTTGATTGTCAGATTTCCATGGATGTTCTAAGTGATATAAGTCTACTTTGATTAAATGCATGAAATCATTATGATTGAAGTTAAAGATAGTTTGAGATATTTCACAAAATACTTCAGCGTTTAGATTAAAATTCATAGTCTGACTGCCCTTTTCAAAGTCTGTTGAATTGTCCTGTACACATAAGTTGTCAAATATAGACATCTTTAGCTGAGTAAATCTCATCATAGTGTAATTAGATGCAGGGAAATGCTACCAATGAACGAAACGAAATGATTATCATACCGAGAAATCATCCTTCTATACATATCTATCATGGAATGAGCAGACAATTGACAAATAGATTCAGAAAATAGATTTTCTCAAGATGATGTGTCTATGTGTGTCAAGTAAAGATATTCAAGATCTTATGAAACTTGAATGAAACGCTATATAGATAACGATAATTGTGTGTACTCTAAGGCAGATGTTCATTTTCTTTTACATTCATACGCTTTTAATCAGTCAGTGATTTACAAAAATGCTCGTTTTTTGCAGTCGTCAATGAATGATAGAAGTTCAATCGAATCATCATTTTAATGAATGTGATTCTGCAACGTTGAATTTAACATTTATAAACTGATAATAGCATAAACATAGAAAACGAGAGAAGATTTTCAATCAATTTCAGTATTATTAAAGTAGAGCAAACGAGTGTTTTACTCAACTATGTATGATACAGCTACTCACGTTAGAACAATAAAACAAAGTCTCATGATTATCAATATATATACATGAGAACGGACCTATAATAATGAACAAGACGGTTTTCAATAGTGACTCAACGCATGCGTGGATATTGATTATTATAGTTTTTTCAATTATCAATGAAACGAACGTCAACATACTTAAAATTTTTGTTGACTTGTGCGACTCAACTCAACTCGACAGTGAGACGTGTTGTTTTTTCTTTCATATGTCTAATATATGAAAGAGTATATATGAGAAAATAAATTCGAAAAAAGGAAACTAACTACCCTAGCATTTTGATTTTCTGCGGTTCGTCTTGATTAAAATATCAGTCGAGCACATAATTAGAAAACCACCAAGAGAAGAAGAGTGATTCGTCAATAATCATATGATTTCATGCAACGAAAAAAACAACAACAATGTATTTATCAATGAGAGAGAATTGTGGTCAATTGAAAATAATCGAAGAAAATATACACTAACTCAGATTGACGTTTCTTTTCTATATGTTCACTTTCTGCCCCGTCTCAGACAAAAAAGCCTGTCATAAACAACTATTGTTAACGTATCGTAAATCGGATGTTCTGATCATAGTCTTCATTCACTAGTTAAGTCAATGAGAAGTCGTCTTATTGATATAGCTTCGAAAGTTTCAATATACTTCTGAGAGTGTGTACTAACAGATACGTTTGTAAATCAATCGGCATCTCTTTTTTCGAACGAAAAAAAGAAGAACATACTGACATGCTATCTTTTTAGAGCTGAATGAGAGTAATGCACAATAACGTAAAAGTGACTGGAACTTATCCTATTTGAAATCTTCTAAAAACAATAAAAACATTTCTGAAAAATGGTTACATGTAGATATATGTCGATATTAATTTCATTTCATTATCAGCAGAGGAAAACTATCGTATGGAGGATAATATATAAGATCAACATCTGTTTGTATATTGTTGTCAAGTGATTATCA